AGGTGTATTAATTGGATTAATATTAGAGCATGTTCGTCCAACTATTGAGCTATAGAAATGTTGTAAAACACTTGAACAGTAATTACAATAGTTTGAACGGAAAAAAATGAAGTTCAAAAGTGATTTCCTAAATCAGAATTTAAAAACTTAAAAGGGATAGTCGGGATGGAGAAAGCAAAATCCTGTGAAACTGGTGGTTGAAGTTTGAATTGACTCAAGAATTCAATTACTAAAAGACCATAAATAATTGCAGAATATCTTATTTTGTTGCTTCCATTTTCCATGATGAAAATTTCTTTGAAGCAAACTGAAACTTTATGAAAATAAGACAGTATTCCATGCTGGCGGGGGAATTCTGAGAGTTGGTCCAGATACCTTAAAAGTTGCTAACTTTGAGAATCGCTGATGTAAGCACTACCCTTTTTTTAAAGGGCTTGACTTTTTTGTAGTGGGTGTTGTGAGGTTTAGAAGATTTTATGTATTTATTAAATAATATTAAACAAATTTGTATACCTGCCTAGCTCACACATAGGTGATTCCAGTGTAATCACACATAGGTGACTCTACAGTAAGTGCTATTTTGGCATCTGATACCTTTTTTCAGGGCCCCAAAACAAGGTCCAAAGCAGTAGTGGGTTGCTCCCAGTTCGGTTTTATAGAACCGGTAGTAAAACCGGCGGGAGGCTCCGCCCACCCACCATGATGTCATCATGGGTAATCTGCGCATGCGCAGAAGCGCGCATGAGTGAAGCAAGCACACGTGCGTGCTCCCGCACGTGAAGTGATATACTAATTTACTAATAGAATATACTAATAGAATATACTAATAGAAGTGATATACTAATTGCCATTGCGGAAGTAGTTTTCTGAGCATCAAATGATTGGAGGATTTTTTCATCTGATGGTAATAACGGGACTTCACATTTCCAAAAGAAAAGTACTTTCCTTTGGAACTGGTGCATGTTTTTTTATCCTTTTTCTTTTCCTGCAACTAAATTTGTTGGAGAAAAGGTAGGGAAAAACTATCATGGAAGCATTTTTTAAAAAATAATTTTTTAGAGTCACATTCATCTTAACGATGGTTTGTGGTCTTAGCCATATAGCTTTCGTGGCAAGAGTACAAAATAATGTCTTGATTATTTTGTTGTATTTGATTTCAATTTGATATTGCCTGGTGGTTTTTGTTTGCATACTAACCAGGGTTAATTCTGTTTATGCTTTCAAGTTTAGCCAAGGTTGACTAATTACATCCTAATTTAAAAACGTTGGCTAGTTGACACATCGCAAAGTTTTATTATGAAAATTACACAAATTCTGAAAATATCAGGCACACAGTATCCTATTAAAAGCAGTATGTGTTTTACTCTGATGTAATGTGCTTGGATTTCATTCGTTTTACTCATTGTCTTATCCCTTACAGTGGCTTTTGGGCAATTGAATTAAAATTTAAGTAAAAATAAGTTGAATGGTTTGCTGTTTTGTATTACAGAATTCAAGGAAGCCTTTTCACTATTCGACAAAGATGGAGATGGCACAATAACAACAAAAGAATTGGGGACAGTGATGAGGTCACTTGGTCAGAATCCCACAGAAGCAGAATTACAGGACATGATCAATGAAGTAGATGCTGATGGTAAATTTTATTTAAAATAATTCAGTAATTAAAATTAAATCAGCATTAATACCTGGATATAACTGAAAGGAATTTTATTAATATATAAATTATTTTCCAGGTAATGGCACAATTGACTTCCCAGAATTTTTGACAATGATGGCAAGAAAAATGAAGGATACAGACAGTGAGGAAGAAATTAGAGAAGCATTCCGTGTATTTGATAAGGTATTCCAGATATTTTGATAAGTTTTCAAAGTACTATGTGCCTTAAACCAAGGGAAATTTCCACTTTGATAAAAATAAATTCTGTACTCATGCCAGCGAACAATGATGTATAGTTTTCAGGGAATTATATTTGACTTTTAATGCAAGCCTTCCTAACTTGCAGGCAATCTGTTCTATAAAATTTTAGAAGAATTGGTGCTATCAATAATGGTGCACTTTTTTTTCATTCCTCCCAACCCAATTAAAGTATGTAATAACTAATGTCAAATAATGTCAGTTAAATAGTTTGGTCTGTAATATAGTCTAAAAACAAAGTTTTCCCAAGTATGCATATATATGAGTTCGAAATGCATGGGACAATAATTAACTGTCTAGCTGTTTTAACTTCCTCGACTGTTCTTTGCAGTGCTAATTGTCCTTGTCTGTACTTAATTTTTAACCTTTTAGTAGAAACAAGTTATTTCTGATTGAGTAATTGTTAAAATATGTGTTTAAAACAATGTAATATAATTAAAGTGGCCACCAAATATTTTCCAGGATGGTAACGGTTATATTAGTGCTGCAGAACTTCGCCATGTGATGACAAATCTCGGAGAAAAGCTAACAGATGAAGAAGTTGATGAGATGATTAGAGAAGCAGATATTGATGGTGATGGTCAAGTAAACTATGAAGGTAAAAGTTATACATAGTTTATTGTAACATAAGTTGTCTTGAACCTGTTAGCAAACAGTCAAACCCACTGGCCTTAATACACCTGCATAATTAAGGCCAAAGAAGTGATAAAATGGCTTCTGTTTAAAAGCAGTAAAAAAATAATTTTCTGTTGGCTAAAAGATGTGCATTGCATTTGGCAGTCTGAAAAACCCAATAAAACTATTTGCAATGTGCAGTTTCTCCTTTTGAGAGCTTGCATTAAAAATGGAGAGGTAATACAAAGGAATAGCACTGTTAGAATCCAACTAATCTTTTTTTCTCATAACACATAATTTCAAAGTAGCAATAAATTAGTTGCCAATCAGGTAAATAGTCTTTTTCTAGCATCTAGCTAATCAAATAAAGATGTTAGTATTCTCCTGCCTCCAATGTGATGTCAGAAGATTGCACCATTTTATTTTCTCTTTAGAAACAGCTAGAAACAGCTAGGGATTCTCTGCAACAATAATAGTTGGCATAAATCATGTCTTTGTGCCAAATATATCTGCAAAGTGTCAATGTAAAGTTTTAACTGGAACTAAAGATAGAAAAGTGCTATTTGCTGGCTTTATGGTTCTTAATTACTTGCTTATGATCTTTCAAAAATACTTTGTGTTATAAATATTGAAGTGCATGTTTATCTGGCCAGAAATAACATTACAACTTAGATCTGATCAAAAGTAGTTTTAGTTTTTATTTGATATGAGACAGAAGATACACCAGTAGGGCTTGCAGTATATCAGCAAGGATTCTGACAGCCAGTTATTTAGCACTATTAGTTGGTTTCTTTTTCTGCTTTCAATTATGCTTGAACAAAGACGTTTGAGGTAAATTATAGGTTTTATGCTAAGGGGCTAAACTGTATTTAAGTCTTTGCTCAAGCAAAAATGTTCACTGTGTAGCAGTTTTTGATAAATTGGTTATAGATCTGTAGAAAATAGAGCGCAAACATAAAGGTGGTCTATCTAATATTAATACTTTGTGATATTTAAATTAAAACATTTGTAGTGCTGCAGTTTTTAAAATCCTTCACAATTGTATCTGGAAAAAGTATTTTAGTGTGACACTTAAAATATAAAGCATTGAGTAACAAGCAAATTTTGCACATAACAAGGCTTAGTATTTTAGTTAGGTACCTAAAGAAACAGAGCTGAGCATCACAATATTGATGGACAACTGACTTGTCACTTTTTGTATGAATTCTTTGTGTATTAGAAAGAATTACTACTACTAATTAAATGAATGAAACATGATTAAAAAATAAAAATTATTTAGAAATAATAGCTTACTAAAGTGAGCCTACTCTTGAAATCCACAAATATTTTACAGAAAACAAGATGGTAGTCTAAAACTGGCATAAATTTATTGGCTAGAATGGCAGATTGCCTGCTTTTTATTTGAATATTCACACAGATACTGGAATGACATTATCATCTTTTTTTCTTCTACAGAGTTTGTACAAATGATGACAGCAAAGTGAAGACACTGCACAGAACGTGTTAAATTTCTTGTACAAATTGTTTATTTGCCTTTTTCTCTGTTTGTAACTTATCTGTAAAAGGTTTTCCCCTTCTGTTGAGAGAGATGCATGTATAGTAACAAACTCATTCCTCCATGTTTTCCCCTTTATCTGTCATTCTGATATTTTGGGAAAATGATCAAAGTAACAAATGTTTGCATGTGGCTTACTCTGGATATTTAAGCCCTTCCACACTTCTAAAGTTAGATGGTGTTGGATAAATGAGGGATCATCTAGGTTATGCCTGTTGAAATTAGTTATTTTAGGAAATTTAGCATGTTGTTGAAATGTAGTCTTAACTCTGTGGACTATGGACAGTCAACAATATGGAACTTTAAAAAGTTTGCACTATTGCAAAACGGGTGTATTATCCAGGTACTCGTACACTATTTTTTGTACTCCTGGTCATGTACCAGAAGACATTTTTCTTCTATAGTTACTATGCTTTTAAAAACTTTTGTTCAGCCACTTATTTTAAAAAGAATCCGCTTATGGCACAACTTGCCTCAAATCCATTCCAAGTTGTATATTTGTTTTCCAATAAAAAATAATTAACTCACATTGTCTAAATCTTTTGTTGAATTCTTATACATTATTTTTTAATGTGTCTACTTCTGAAATTAATCCTTGTACCTTTTAGATTCTAAATGGAGGCTGTGTTTAGGCATAGCAAAAGTAGCAACTTTTGCCTTCTAGGCTTGAACTTGGTTTAAGGAATTTCAGGCAGGTATACCACCCCTGAATCATACTTTTCCCTTTCAAATCTAGAAATCTGTAAAGTGAATACAGATAATATCAACAGTACTGGGCAAATGTTTTAGGCAGTTGTGCAAAAATACTGTAAATAAGAATGCTTTCAAAATATATATTTTAATTGTTTTATTTTGATCAATTTAGAAAATGCAAAGTGAGCAAATAGAAGAAAAATCTAAATGAAATCAATATTTGGAGTGACTACCTTTTGGTTCAAATCAGCTTCAATTCTTACACTTGAACACATCACAAAGTCGGGGAATTTTGGAGGATTAGCAGATTAACCAATTATACCAAGCAGATGTTAATGATCATCAATTCCATATGTAGGTTGAAACACAGTCATTAACTAAAAGAAACAGCAGTATAAGAGGCTTAAAACTGGATGAGGAACAGCCAAATTCTACTACTGAGGTTGTGGAAGACAGTTTTCTGTCACAGGTCATACACCATGGCAAAACAGAGAACAGAAACAAGACACATGGTAGTTATATTGCATCAACAAAGTAACTGCCAGGCAAAGATTGCAAAGCAGACTGGGGATTCAAAATGTGCTGTTCAAGGTCTTTTGAAGAAGCACAAAGAATCGGGTAACATTGAGGACCGTAGATAAAGTGGTCAGCCAAGAAAACAATGCAGCAGATGAAAGAGACATCAGGCTTATTTCCCTTGGACATCGGAAGATGTCTAGCAGTGCCATCAACATAGAACTGCAGAAATTGGTGGGATCCAGGTACACCCATCTATCCAGAGAAATCTGGCCAGAAGTGGTCTTCGTGGAAGAATTGTGGCCAAAAAGCCATACCTCCAAAGTTGAAATGAGAAAACTATGAAGGAAAACAGGAACTAAAGTGGATAAAAACGGCAGCAGGGCTCTGGAGTGGAGTCAAAATTTGAAAGATGTGGCTTAGGACCGGGGTATATACGAGACCGCCTTCTGCCATCAACAACCTCCCACCGGCCAATATGTTCCCATAGAGAGGGACTCCTCAGGGTGCCGTCGGCCAAACAATGCCGACTGGCGACACCCAGGGGGAGAGCCTTCTCTGTGGGGGGCCCAGCCCTCTGGAATGAGCTGCCCCTAGAGCTTCGTTTTAGCCCCGACCTGCATACTTTTCGCCGCGCCCTTAAGACCCTTCTGTTCCAGCAAGCTGGACTGGCCTAGTATGAATTTTTAAAATGGGTGTATGTGTGTTTTAATTCGTGGGCCAAATTTTATATTCAATTTTAATTGGTTTTAAATTTTATAAATCTATGTGTTTTAATATGGCTGTACACCGCCCTGAGTCCTTCGGGAGAAGGGCGGTATAGAAATCTAATAAACTTAAACTAATAAACTGTAGCAGGAAGCAGTTTGCTGAAGAGCCAGAGAGCGGTACAATAATGAGTCTTGGCCGGCAACAATGAAGCATGGTGGAGGTTCCTTACAAGTTAGGGGCTGCATTTCTGCAAATGGAGTTGTAGATTTAGTCAGGATCAATGGTGTCAATGTTGAGAAATACAGGCAGATACTTATCCATCATGCCATGCTATTAGGGAGGTGTACGATTGGCACCAAATTTATTCTACAGCAGGACAACACAGCCAATGTCATTAAAACTATAGCGTAAAAAACAAATTCTGGAAGTGATAGTTTGGCCCCCACAGAGACCTGATCTCAATATCTTGAGTCTCTGGGATTACATGAAGAGACCGAAGGATTTGAGGCAGCCTACATCCACAGAAGATCTGTAGTTTTCCAAGATGTTTGGAACAATCTTGAGGGAACCTTGGCTGAGTTCCTTCAAAAACTCCAAATGTACCTAGAAGAATTGATGCTGTTTTGAAGATAAAGGTTGATCACACCAAATTTTGATTTGATTTGGATTTCTCTTCTGTTCATTTACTTTCCATTTTGTTAATTGATAAGACTATTAACACTTCTATTTCTGAAAGCATTCTTAATTTACAGCATTTTTAGACAACTGCCTAACACATTTGCACAGTACTGTACATCTCATTGTCTAATAGAATTGGTGAAATTAAATGAGAAATGTATACATGTATTTATTTATTAAATTTGTTTGCTATCCATCTCCCCACAAGGTAACTCAGTAGTTTACAACATTGAAAGTGTGTGTGTAGTATAAAATCACATTAAAATTGCAATAAAATGCAAGTTATAACTAAAGCTGGGGAGGAAGTAAGCAGAATATAGAGGAGGGAAGTGGCAACTTCTATTAGATGATCAACGACCTCCAGTGTGATATTCCTCCATTGGGACCTGATAGAACCAGGTCTTCAGGCTCTTGAGGAAAGTCAGGAGGATGAAAGCCAAGCAAATTCTGTATTCTTGATGCATAGTTGTGTAATGAAGACAAACTGATCTGGGTTATTCATTAAAGCTGCCCCCATTGACTGGAAGTTAATACATTGCATCACAGTTGTGATTGTGATATTGCTAATATCTTGAAAATGAGTCAAGGGCACTTGTGTACCCCTTTCTTCAAAAGATTGACCAGCACATCAATTTTGTTAGTCATGCCACATGTTGGGAGCAGAACACAACAAAAATCTGCTTGTAGACCACAATACACTTAAGATCAAGAAGTAAAAATGATTGGTGGCCGCTTCGTAAGTCGAAAGAGTGAACCAAAAGCTATAGGTTCTGCGGAAAGGCTGAGTGTGAGTGATGCATTTTGTTTTCACTTGGGCTGTGTTCCAAAGGAAATTTCTTTAAAATTCTCTGGATGTATGGATTCTCATGGATCTCTACATGTATCAGAAAATAATTATACTATCTATTGCTCAGTACAAAGCACAGGTAAGCAAAAAGACTGGGTGCAGTACTTTCTACCCCCTATCCTCTTAAACTTTTAATGGACAGGAAGGTAAATTAAAATGTTAGTTGATGCTAATATTTTTATTTTGTAAGAAGGCCTTTGGAACCATGTCAGGAACAGAGGTGATTCTTTATCTTACCAGGTGAAAAAGGCGAAGGATATTTGTTGAAATAGAATTGTAAGAACAAATGGGCACTTAAGCAAAATGCCTACTCACAGAAAATGCAACCTTTTAGGAAGCATCAACTCACAGAGTATTACTTGCTCCTTTCCCTACTACCGTCTTTACTCTTGACTGAGCAACAGTGTACATATTTTGATTTACATGGCATTTTTGTTCTTAAAGAGGTTTTTCAAAGTTGTAGGATGAAGCAAAAGGGACAGGAAATCAGCAGACACCAGTCTCATGATAAATACCAGGGACCTTGGTTCTATTAGAAGAATAAAACACAAGTTGCATACAAAAAAATGTCTTCTATGTATCTTCCATGAATGGATCTTCAATTTCACTTATTAAGAAATATGTTTGTTTTGATATACATGGTATGATTCACACAAATTTATGGTGAATGAATGATTTCAAAAGCTCAGTAATACTATGCCTCCAGCAATCCCTACCCCATTTGCTTTTAAACAAAAAAATAGATTTTATTCCAAATAAGTCACAATTTGCCATTTATCTAAACTTTAGTACAACTTTCACTGCTGTTGCTAATATCATCTCTGGTCCTGACATAGTTCCAAAGGTGTTTTCCTTAAAAATAAAAAAAACTAGTTTCAATGTAACATAAACTTCCTGCCCATTAAAGTTTAGAGAGGATCAGGAGTGAAATAATACTGAAACCAGTCTTGGGATACCAATTTTTTTTATTTGGTAATATGTAGCTTGATAACTAAACATGCAGAGCCCTTCATTCATTATAAGTTTGTGGGTCACTCTCCCTTTGATCCATTTCATCAGTCTTTGGAGGTGGAAAAGGGGATTAATAGCATCAACTAGTAAACTATCCATGTAAATGAGAGACTTGTTAATGGAAAATGGATGCTAATACAGAATCAATAATGGAAGAGATCATTGTAGTATGTTATAAATTTTTTGACCTAGACTACATAATTCTCTCTGTGTTGTAAAGCTGATGTGTGACTACCACCATGAGCTCACAATCCACTTAACTGAATTAACTAGGGAGGTACCAAAATAGGTGAAATGCTCCAATCATTTAACTTCCCCTCTCCCCAGTAATGAAATGTAACTCTAGCACATCCAGCCACGAACAGGGTTAAGCTAACTCCATATAGTAATATCTTGGGAACACCTAGCATAGGCACCAGTAGTGGGTTTCAAATCCCATCGCTACTGGTTTGCTCGTGGGCGTACACGCACTTGCATGCACGCAATGCTTCTGGACACAGAAGTGTCCAGGCGGGTGGGTGGAGCCTCTTGTCATCACCGCTACTGGTTTGCCCAATCCGGGGCGAACCAGTAGCAACCCACCACTGATAGGCACCCGTATGTCTACTCATAGAATCAAGAATTGGAAAGAATTTAAATCATCCAGTGAAATTCCCTGTTCAGTACAGGACCACCTAAAACATTTTGGACAAATGGCTATTGTTCCCAATGCTAAACTATTCCATTGATTGACAACTATTACCACCAGGAAAGTTATTCTAATATTTAACATGAAATCTACTTCCCTGTTGTTTCAGCTCACTGGTTCTGCCTCCTCTCCTTTTCACAGACATACTCTGGACACCTGAAGATTGCCATTGCATCTCTTCTCAGTCTTTGCTTCAGGCCAATATTTCTAGTTCCTCTATCTGAACTTCATAGGACTTGGTTTCCGGTCCCCTTACTATCTTGGTATTGTCCTCTAAATGCCACATCCCCCCCCCGCTACTGTTGAGAACTGCAGTGCCAAGAACTAGAAACACTATTCCAAACACTATTCCAAGGCAGAACCAAATGTGACAATTACGATATGGAGTCGATGCTCACGCTGTGCACCCAATTCAACTTGTCATCTGTTACAGTACCTAGATTCTTTTCCCAAGTTTTTCTAACAGACCAGGTCTCTTCCATATACCTGTGCCTTTCATTTCCCCCCACCCCCAGATGTGGAACTTTATATTTTTCCTGATATTAAATATTAAATATTTTATTCATTTTGGCCCACTGCTTAAGTCTGTCTAGATCTTTATGAATTTTATCTTGCCATTTTGATAATCATCTCATCAGTCTATTCATCCAGATTATCAATAGAAATGTTAAAGAACACAAGTCCCAGGATTTGGTCATTTAATACAACTTTTGAAGTGCTGTAGAACAATTTGTGATTACGCCCTGGGTGCAGTCATTTAGCCAATACATTTATATCATCTAATCCTCTCTCTCTCTCTCTCTCTCTTTTTTGTATCTCAGAGTTAAACTTGATTCCTGGTTAGTACATGGACAAAACCATGCAGTTTTCTTGCAATGGCTTCAGAACTGATTTCCTATTGCCCTCTTGCTAGAGTTAAGAGAGACAGTGACTAACCCAAAGGTTTTGCAGAGGTCAAAATACTCTTTGTCCATTGTGTTTTCCTGGTAATTCTGTCAAAAAAGAAGATATGATTAGTGTGACTTATTTGTAACAAGTCCCAGTTAGCATGGGCATCTATAAACCTTGCAATGTAGTGCAGACCAGAAGCACAACCAGGAAAGTACTATCTTTATTGTAAAGTTATATTAAACTGAATCTTGGATTTCTCCCATCTTTTATTCTCCAGAAAGCTGGAGACATCTTTTACATGCCAATTGTCCCATCTATAGCTGTCCCTCCTATCTCCCAAGGTCATTCTCACATTCTATTACATCTGAAGGGTTGGACAAAGGGAATGATGTCCTGTATAATTACATAATCACTGAAATGCTGGAATTTACATACATGTGTCAAACGTTCTGACACAAGCATATAATTGGGGTATTTGCATGATTATGTAATAGTATGTTAAGGCTCAACTCATTCTGTGCTTTAGTTTCTGCCAACTTCTTGTTTCCTTCTTTGGTTATACATCCCTGCTATTTTCTATTTTTTCTTTTCAGCATTTTGCAAACCCTGTGTTTATCTACGCTGGTGTCTTTAGATCTCTCCCATTTTAATTTCCACTGTTTGCAATTACAGCTTCAATAGCCCATTTTTCAGAATTTCTTACCCTTTACAGAAAGTTTTCCCCTTCAGAATGTCAAGCCATTGGATGACTTCACCAAAATCCACCTTTCTGAAATCTAATATGCAAGTATTTTCCCTATCTTTGATAGCACAAATTCAAGGATAACAAGAACACTTTCTCTCATTTCTGGTCACCTTCACTTCTTCAGGTAATTCATTCTTTGAGCTTCTAACAAATGACTTTGCCAAGAGAGGATAACATTTCGGGAATCTCTGACTCTTGGCAGAGTGAAATCTTCCATTGTCATTATTATTTTTTTTTTAAAAAGTTTGTTATCAGGCCCAATAAGATTCATCCAAATCTTTCACCCATCTATCCATGGGGTAAATAGTGCTTGAGAAAGCAAGCCTCCCTATTATCAAAACCATTGTCAGTCCATAACATACCTCTAAAATATAAATTTGCTGCAGTTCCTAAAGCCAGTGATGCCTGAGCTTTGTAAACACTCCAACAATCACAAGGTGGTGGCAAAGAGATACACAAAAAAGACCTCTTTGCTGCCATTCCATGGACATCTGATTTTTTACAGCCCTAGCTCAAGTTTCACTCATTGTTCTGTTTTTAATAAATAGGAAATAGTTAGAGATGTCATAAAACTTCAATAATCTTTTGAGGAAGGATTCTGGAATAACAGACACCTTTTGGAGAAAAAGTGAGACCTTCGTGTTTTCCAATTGGTGATTCTGATCTGCTTAGTATGTCAACATGCTGCCAGAAAGGTATGCATGTATGAATGAGCTAATCTCTAATTGGACTAAGCATGCTGTGGTATCAGTGTCTATTTATCTATGTATCTTAATACCAAGTTATGTGAAAAGAGAACTTGCAAGTCAACCAACTTGCGAAAAGCACAAAACAGGACTGGATTCCTTAGGACTAGACAGAACAGGGTTTATATTCAATTTGTCTCATTTTAGAAGGTCATTGAGGGAGGGATATTTTGCTTGTCCTAATGAACAGACTTTTTTTCTCCATCTGTTTCTTCTGATTGACATTTTCGCAGGTTTATGAAAAAAAAACTCCACACAAACTTCTTTTAGGGAATTTACGAATTGTCAGGTCCCTGCCGGAACGCTGCCTTTCCGAAGGGGAGGGGGCAATGCTTCTTGGGGTTGAATCGGGGGTGAAATGCTCCCGGATCAGACCGGATCGCCAGGTCCGGTAGCGATCTTGGCCATTGGTTCGACGATCCGGTAGCGATGGCGGAGCAAAGCTCCGCCCACCCACCCGGGCGGTTTTAACCAGGAAGTAATGTGTTTTTTACCTTCTGTGTATGCACAGAAGGTTTTGCGCATGCGCAGAAGTTCTACACACACACATGATGTGTGTGTGTGCGTGTGTGCGCTTCTAGACCGGTAAGGAAGGTAAGTAGATTTCACCCCTGGATTGAATGCTTTGAATGCTTTCCCTTTTGCTGTAACCGCATGACAATTAGGAGGGGGACTGAGCCGTCAGGATGGACTCCTTCCCAGCCAGTTCCAGTCTGTTACCCAAGGTTGTGGCATCCCGAGGATGACCTACTATCAACATCCCGCCTCAGAGTTCTCATAACACCTTTGTGGCATCATATTGGCTACTGGTGGACATGGGGCACTAATGGGGGTTGAACAGGGGAAATTAACTTAACGCTTCACACGGGAATCTTCAGACTCCGCCTGACTTATGTTATTTATTTATATGTTATTTATTTATCAAACATGTACAAGATAACAGGTATAAGTACAAACATGGACATGAACATAGGAAATGAGTACAAATAAATGGGGACAGTATAACAGGGACAGTAGGCAAGCTGGTGTGCTTATGCACACCTCCTTTACAGACCTCTTAGGAATGGGGTGAGGTCCATGGTAGAGAGTTTAAGGTGAAAACTGTGGGGGTTTGAGGATGTAACAACGGAGTCAGGTAGAGCATTCCAAGCATTGACCACTCTGTTGCTGAAGTCGTATTTTCTGCAATCGAGCTTGGAGCGGTGGACCTTGAGTTTGTATTTATTGTTTGCCCAAGTATTATTGAGGTTGAAGCTGAAGTAGTCGTTGACAGGTAGAATGCTGTAGCAGACAATTTTGTGTACTATGCTTAGGTCAGACCGTAGGCGGCGTAGTTCCAGGTTGTCCAAGCGCAAGATTTCGAGCCTGGTGGCATAAGGGATTCTATTGTGAGCAGAGGAGTGGAGTACTCTTAGAGTGGACTTCTCTGCAACCACTTCTCTCAGTAAAAGTTCCTTCTGAAATACCAATTGTTTCAAGAGTCATGCTTTCCTGAGAAGATAGCTGAGGCAGGTCCTTACACAAACACATATTTCTCAATTTGAAAGCAGGAACCCAATCTTAAAATCTCGTATCAAGTCTTTATCTGAAGCTATGTTTTGTTCCCAGATGCTTGTATCTTCTTCCAAGTAAGAATACTCAAATCCTTAGCACGTGGATTGTGATGTCATAGACAACTATTGCTGATTCGATGCAATAATCTGCTTAAAAAAAACCAGAGGGAGAGCATGGTTGGCAGCATCGTGGGCAGTAGAGCAAGCAAACATACTACAGTAAATGTTCTACGGCTCTCTTATTGCAATTGTAGCTCTTATTATATTTTCTCTTATAAGATTAAACATTTTAAATGTGTGGTAAAACTAAACATTTCACCAAGTGAGACTTCTAGTGACTTACTGGAGACATCCTTAAAGTTTTCTTGGCAGCAGCATGGAAGCAGTCTGCCAATTTCTTCTTCAGGCTGTTTTTCAACGTCTTAATCTAACCCTAAAGCCCTTGACTTCCTGGTTGACTTCCATTTAACTTCTGATCAGATTGTCACCTTGCTTCAGTCATCAGCCCTGTTTGCTTAGGAGCTAAACCTACTGCTATTCTAAATATGAAACCATTTTAATTTTTTTCTGAAATATTAAGATGCTCACTTACCCTTAAAGTCATTCTTTAACAATCCTGATTTTTTTTTTCTAGATAGTAGAACATGAAAAAATACCATATCAAAGAAGAGATACATGGTGGAGAGATTCACTAAGGGTATGTAATATGATATCTATTTATTCTTGTGTTCTTAATTTACAAGCATAAAATTATTTATTTATCAAATTTGTTTAGCTACCAAAATATTGCATGTTTATGAATTATATTCCAGTTTGGGAACTAGTGCAATGAAGACAAGGGAAATTATTTAACAGTTTTGCATTCCCATTCTTGCATAAAGTAGAATTTAGGGATATCATGTGATACTGTAGAACAGCCTTCTCCAACCTGACATTCTACAATTTCCAAAACTGGTCATGTTAGTTTGGAATTTTGATAATTGTAGCCTAATATATATGGAAGGCATGAGATTCAAACAAGCCAATTGAGAATTATTCTTAGCCTATTGAAAATGCTATTATACTCATAAATGCTATTGCACTTTTATTCCCGGAGGTATCTAGTTCTGTGAGCACAGAATGTTGTACTAATTAGTCCTTGAGATGCACTAATATGGCTCCTCCTATAATCTAGATACTCCTATGAGTCATTGAAAATAAAGGACTTGCCTCTTTCCATCCAACCCTTTGCAGAACACTTTTCACTGATATGTCTATATTGACTAGGGATTGTTCAGTTTACATCCTGTGGCCCAGCAATAAAAAAGAATTAATGTTAGAGTAAACATCCCCAGGTTTCCTTCTAAGGTCTGAGCTAGCTTTTGATTTTTTTGCCCTGGATAGACCTTTGCTGTTCCTCCAATTTTACTTCTGTGAATCCTTTATTTTACATTATGAATCAACATTGATCTACTAGCCTCTGTTCTGTTATTTCTGATTCCTTGTTGACCTGGGCCATGATTGATCTGATCTTTCTGAAAATAACTGAGTAAAAATATTTTCCTTGTCTTCCAAGCAATATATTTGAATTGAGCCACAGATATTGTAGGATGCCTGAATATTTAACATTAACATTCGGACACTGGATTTCTGTGTTAAATCCTTGGATTATTAAAGGAAATTGAATGAAATAAGAAGTGGTGAGCTATCCAAATGAATTATTAGCCCGTAAGTGAAATATGTCCCCAACTAAACTGTCCTATAGAAGATTTGCTATTATTATTTTTTTTTGCAAGAGGACCATTACTTACACTGTAGTTTATGTTAATTTCCCTGGGGTACCAAGAATGGTCAGTCTAGCCCAGTGTTTCACAATCTCAGCAAGATGAGCTGAGGAATTTTGGGAGTGAAAATTCACACATCTTAAATTTGCTGATCAAATAATAATGATACATGATGATCTGCTTAAAGACACTGCTGAAATCCATATTTATATTTTCAGATATGAAAAACATGTTATACATGCTTTGTTTCTTTCTACTAGCCAACCCCAATCCCAGGATCTTATCCTGTACGAGATTTTCTTGAAGAAGCTCAGTTGAATCCAGTGAAAGCAACTTATAATTTTAAAAGTGAAGGGAGAAAGAGAGCATCCATCTATCAGCAACTACCTGATTTGACCTTGCCAAATACTTTTATGTACTATCCTCCTTCATTTGTGGAACTGGTAGAGAAAAGACCTGCTACTTATTCCTTTAAGAGTACTTCAAGGCAAAGCAACTATCCAGTCAGTGGAGATAAGGTAAAATGAAGTTAGGAATGGGGCTCTATAACAATAATTGCCATCTTAAAAGAAAAGGTATTTAGCTAATACTCAGGTCCTATCATTAATATCCTGATCCTGTTTTATATCCCAATGGCAAGTCCTTCAGAGTGGGTTTAATGGCCAACAAATAAGGAGCAGGGAATGGAAAACCAGAGACAGTTAGAAATGGAATGGAGAATCTCAAAAGAGGTTATCACCATCACCTTAGAATAAATAAATAACCATAATAGTTCAATCTAAAAATCTGGCTGACAATCCAATAAACAAATAATAATAATAATAATAATGTCCACTGAGGCATTAACTTGACATGGTTGTGGGGCTGGTGTGCTCTAAGGAGAATGAGAGCTATGCCAGAAGTTCAACCATACTTCTCATCAGAAGGCCAGACAAAGATTGCCTTTTCCATAAAAAATATGGTGAGACATAATTTACAGAATCCTATAGCAGCTCAGTCGTTGCCCAAGGAATGAGAAGGAATCAGAAAAAACCAAAACAAAAGCTAGTGGATCATTGTCTGTTTATAATACAAACTAAGGTACTCACAGAAGTAGAATTGGAAGAACTACAAAGGCCTACCCAGGGCAAAGAAATCAAAGCCTTGCCAGAAGTAGCTAAATGGTAGAGGGAAACCATGCAAAGTTGGCAGTAGAAGGGACCAACATAACTATTGAACTGTTTTCACTCCCAAACCAGGTAACCTCTCATCTTCCAAAGTCCTCTAACTAAAAGGCAAGAGGAACTGGAACAAAGAATAATTGAGTGTCTTGAATAGCACACACACAACCGAATAAGGTTGCCCACATTGAAGTTCATTACAAAGAAGCAACTAGCACAAATTTTAAATGATGCCAATACTGTAATATTAAACATGAGAAACTACTCACTAGAAGAATCAAACCAACTAATATATAATACAGCTGCAGTTATAACTGACAATTTGGGCTGCAAAATCAACAAACAAGGAAAAAAAAACCAAATAGTGCACCACCAAAATGGAAGGTCAGGTTGGAAAATAAGATCAGTATGCTAAGATAAGATGCAAGCAAGCTAGTACAGATGAAAGAAAGGTAAAGAACCAGAAGACCCAAAAGAAAAAGAAAAAACCGTGATCAAGAAATATCATCTAGAAACAAGGAAAAGTACGGAAACACAAGAGATCAGCAGATATGAAGCTCAAGTAGAATCTCCAATTTCAGTCGAATCAGATATATTTCTACCAATTCATCAATGGAGAGATTGCAGTGAACCAATCAGCACCTGACAAAGAAGAAACAGTGCAGTTCTGGGCACAGATATTGGACAACCCAAAGAAATACAACAAAAATGCAGCTTGGATAAAGGAGGTGGAGAAGAAGAAGAAAAAAAGAACTGAAATGAAAGAAATTGTAATAACAGAAATGGTGAAGACAAGAGCAAAGAAGGTCAAGAATTGCTCAGCAGTGCATAAAGATGAACTATATATTTTTTGGTTGAAACATCTTGACTGGTCTTATACCCACTTGTTGCCAAGTAGTTTAACAACAAGCTCCAAGAAGGTGAAATTGAAGATTGGTTAACATCTGATAATGAAAGATCCAACAGCATCAAACAAATCCAATTAACTGCTTACCAACAACTTTCAAATTACTAATTGGTGTAGTAACTGATGTAGTCCAACAGCATCTAGCTCAGGGATGTCAAACTCACATCGTCATGACATCATCACATGACATATCATGGGTTTTCCCCCTTCACTAAACTGGGCATGGGCGTGGCCAGCGCATGATGCATCTAGCCCGCGGGCTGTGAATTTGGCAGCCCTAGTCTAGCTGAAAAGAAGCTGATATTACCTGAGCAGCATCCAAACAGCAGAAGAGCAAAAGATCAACTCCTAATTGATAAAATGATTTTGGAAAATTGGAAGAGAAAGAAGACTAACTTGAATGTATATTGGATTAATTACAAGAAGGCATTTGACTCCCTGCCACATGACTGGATAATCAAGTGTCTGGAAATAAGAAATAGAAAGAGGAATCTTTCAAGGAAACTCACCCTCATCACTACTGCTTATCATTGCACTGATTTCTCTGTCAATGATACTGAATAAGTCAGGCTACAAACATCAAAAATATCTGCCAGGCTATGCTACCTCATTTACATGGATGATCTGAAGCTGTGTGGAAAAACACCATCTGAAATAGAATTGCTGCTCATCATCAAATATACTGCCAAATTATTGCGATGGGATTCAGATTAGACAACTGTGCCACCCTCACCATCAACAGGGGAAAATAGTGAAAACTGAAGGAATCAAGATGCCCTGTGGAAAAAATATCAAGAGTTTGGATGAAGATAATCACTACAAATACCTGGACATCTTTCAAGCTGACAACAACAAGCACACTGAAGTCAAAAAGAAGATTAGAAGTGAATACATTATGAGAGGGAAGAAGATCTTAAAATCTAAACTCAGTGGAGGAAATACCATCAAGACAATTGACTCCTGAGCAATTCCAGTCATTAAATACACAGCTGGAATAGTGGATTGGACTCAAGCAGAACTGAAAGCCCTGGACAGGAAGAATGGAAATATAATGACTACGAATCATGTCCTTCATCCATGCAGTGATGTTGACAAACTCTATTTATCAAGAAAAAGAAGGTTAGTGTGGAATGTTGCAAGCACATCAGACAGGTGAAGAAAAAAAAAGTGTATTGGAAGAACATTTGAAGGGCAGTGAAGAAAATAGTATGCCACGAAGGCTTACTGAATACTGGAGAGACAAAACTGGCCTACCAGAAACACCAAATGAAAAATAGAAAAGAGGCGCATGGCAAGACAAAGTATTACATGAGCAAGATATGAAAACTAGCAGGCAAAGCAGATAACAGCAGGACTTGACAATGACTCAGAGCAAGAAAGTTAAGAAAGAGACAGAAAGTCTAATTCTGGTCGCAAAGACCAGGTCTTAAGAGCAAATGCATACAAAGTCAGATCTGAGAGGACAGCAACAGACAGCAAATGCATCTCTGCAAAGAAGCTGAAGAAATTATGGATCGCTTAGTTAGCTGCTGCAAGAAGATCCTACAGACTGACTACAAATAATGACTTGAGAAAGTAACAACTATGGTGCATTGGAATATCTGCAAGGAATACATTTTGCTTCAAGCAGGAACTTGGGGCCACAAAATAGGCAACATAATAGAAAATAAAGAAGCTAAATTGCTCTGGGACTAGAATTCAAATAGACAAGGACCTGCCACACAACATTCCAGAGTTAACAACTGATGCTAAAAAAGCCAAAAAAAGTCTGGATAGTGGACATGGCAGTATCTGGAGGCAGCAGAATAGAAGAAAAAGGAGAAAATAACAAAATACAAAGACCTGCAAATAGAAGTAGAATGACTGGGGCAAAAGAAAGCAAAGATAATATGAATAGTAAATAAGTGCCTTTGGATGTAATTAATCCAGAACATCTGGATTACCACTTGAATGCCATCAACATTGACAGAATCAATTGTAGGCAGCTTTATTCCGAACAACTTATATTCTGTGCCAATATCTTTAACATCATCAAACAACAACATCTGCCTATCCCAGATTTTGGGAAGGACTTGATAGGTGGACAAAAATGCCAAATCCAGTCTAAGCATCAATCTGATTATGCAACCAACCATAGTAATAAAATATACCACCTGACTGTTTAGTGACCCTGGGTGATTCAAAACAATTAAACAAAGGAATTATAGTAAAATCAGTGAAATATAAAAGATAAAAAGAGCCAAGGGTGGAGGAAGAGGACCCTTTCTCTCTCTCACCAAAGGTATGGTTGAAGAACCAGATCCCCATGGCTCTTCTAAACAATGGCAGAATGAGGATCATCTGGATCTGGAGCGGTGGGGGGTGCCTAGTTTCAGAGGGTAAGCACTACTACTGAGAAGGTGTGCTTCAGGGGTTTTGGTAGATTATTTTGTTTAATTGAAGGAGCCCAGAGCATCCCAACTGTGTAGGAGTGGATTGGTAGATGCTATGGGAGACAGATCCTAGGCTGTTTATGGCCTTGTAAGTAAAGATCATCGCCTTGAATCACACCTGGAAGCAAACTAGCAACCAGTGCAGTTTATCAAATACATAATAAGATTCCACAGAGCAAGTTTGTTTGTTTCTAGTCAACATTTGAAGAATCAAAGTAATGAAGAATCTTGTGGCATCTTACAGTTTCAAGGCATCAAAAACAGAAATGTAAAATGTCCAGATGGTAGAATGAATTGTAGCATCTCTGATTGCATATGGTGAATACAACTTCACTTTACTCAGCAAGGTAGTAACTAAAAGTAAGTAAATCTTACCTAAAGATGTGTAAGTAAAACCTATTTGCAAATCGAAAATTAAGACCTTAGAGGGGAAAAAAAATCTGGCCTTAGGCTGGCTTCTTATTTGCAAAGAGTGTTTAAAGATAAAGAGAAGAATGACTTCACATCTGCAGTCAAGTACAGCAGTCCATTAGTTTATTTCAGCCATGCCAAGACAAGACAGGACAAGGCAGACTTCTCTTGGAAAAGTTGATCAATAAATTAGACCACAAAACAAAGCCTAAATTCTTATATTTGTACACTGTATTTTTTATTCCCCACAGAATATAAGCACTGATCCTGGACAGTATGATCTTTTCCCTCGTCCAGTTCCTACTTTTCCTACTAAGTAAGTATACTTTCTAATCTATTTTTTCTTTTTAAACAGATTATTTTGGCATGTAAAGTCTTAATATTTCTTGAATTTGGCTGTATTGGCTATGCAGTAGCATAGCCCTTGCCTGAAGCCAAACCATTGTGGTCAGAGGCCAGAATAGATTCTTGCTGATTTCCATGAAAAATTAGCCTTTTTCAAGATCCTTTCTTAGTGGAGAAATGCCTTCCATTTTCTCTGAGGTTGATGCAAAAAGTCAGCAGGAGATAAAATCCTAAAAGAAGTGACAAGACGAAAAAGAAGTAGTCAAAGCAGCTGTTCAACTTGCCAGCCTGGTTACTTACAGGGCAAGGCAACATGTTGCCTTTCAGATTTTTGAGACTGTAATTCTCATAAGTCCATCCAGAGGGCTAGTGGTTGAATTATGGAAAGTGTCTTGCAAACATCTCACATGCAGTTGGTTGTTTATCCTTGTCTTACTCTGTTCACCTTGCTGTGATGAGTTGGACAAATAAATCGCATCGCTATAGAAGTAGCTGGGAAAAATACAGATTTTTCAAAGGCATGTTTGAAATAAAATTGGATTGTGGGCTCACTACAAGGAGGAAAGGTTGGTCCTAGAATAATCACTGACCCTTCAGATGTTACCTTGGATTTCCAACTATTTTGGCATATTATTAAGGCCAGGCTCTTTTGTGGCTGAAAGTTCAAGGAATGAAATTTAATGCGTGTGTTTTTAAAAATAATGACTGGCATGTATGCCAATTGCATATAATTTTATGAAATTATACTGCATCTATGTAGCTTGTAAGAATCGGTTAAACTTAATTTCTGGGACTGTAGGCTTGAACCTTCCTTTGAGTCTCATTATTATTCTAGGTAGGACTTAGTCATTCCTTCCATCCACTTGACTTCAGTTGGATGGTGGGAAAAGAGTTACAAGTCAATAGCCTTGAAATATGCTGGAGGGATTAAATGATGATGTTAAAGTAACTTTAGTTTTACTGATTTCAATACTTTTGAGTGGTTCCTAGCAGTGGGTCCTTCAAGTTAAAACCTATGAATAAAAGCTAGTCATTAAAACAAGTAGAATACTATTAAAACAACTAGAAATAATAAAAAAAAGTACAAATTAAAATCAATTCAGTTTAAAAACCATTCAGGCCTCCTGAACAAACTGTTTCACAGCAGATACTTGCATAGAAACATAGACACAATTCATATTTTACATAATTGTCCCCCCCTCCACCCAAGTTTAGCAGAAGATGTTTTGAACATGGATCTTCTTAAGTTGGTACAAGATTCAAATTTTTACAACATAGCAACTCTCAGCTTTAGCCTTTTGGAAGATGACCATTAAGAGGGCAAAGCAGACCTTTCAGAAAAGGATTTGGAAGAAGACTGAATTGGGAGTGAAGTTGGTGCAGGCCATTCAAGGATTCTTTTGCATATCCTGGATTGTTCTCAGGGGCACAGGAGCCCATGTTCTGTACATTGAAAAAGAAGAAGCCTTGCATTCATTGAGATGTAGACAAAATTAAAATCCCCAATTGTTTCAAAACAACCGAAATGCTAAAAGAATTTTATTTTCTCTCCTTATTCTTTGCAGGAGTTATATGTTTCGATCTGCAGTTCAGAGACATCCCATTTTTCCTCTGGTAAGTTCTATTGATTAATGACTATAAAATGTTGGCATTTCATGCAAAGAAGAAAAAAACCCACTCTTAAATGTTTCTTTTCTTCCAAATAAACCGTTAATACTTTCCCTTCCCAACTCTTCAACTTTAACATTTACCTTTTTGGGGAATAGTTAGATTTTTCAGGAGTAGCCCCACAGCTGTAAACTTTGCAACCGCTCTTGTCGTGCCATCTCGAGTTTTGTTACCCCGCCGCCCCAGCTGATGGATCCCAGTTTAATTACAATGCCCATTGAGGGATGGTGCCATAAAAATGTAAATAGAGGCCAGAGATCCATTTTTTTCCCTTTAAAATAATCATTTTTTGAGACACATGTCAGGAAAATGCATATCTCTCTTTAAGAAGTCACTTTCTGCCCAAAAATAGTACATCGGAGAATTGACCTGCATGACAATTGCATCTGCTTCAGACAGATACGTCCTCTTTCTCTTCTTGCCCCATCTTCGTCTCTTCCTCTTTCTTTTCTTTTGAGCCAGTCTAGTCACAAAGGACCGAAACAGGTATTTTTGCCTTCCAGAAATTCTCTCCCATTCAGGGATCTCCCCTGGAAAACTGTCCGCCAAAAGTGACAGGAAACTATTCTATACCTTTTATGCAAAGAAAGTGGAAGAGCAGCATACCGATAGAGACAAGAATGGAAATTTACTAAGAGAGTTATAGAATGAATGAATGAATGAATGAATGAATGAATGAATGAATGAATATCATACCGTGGCCATGTTAGCATGACATGGCTAACCCAGTTCCCCCTCTGACATATTTCTACCTGCCATCCAGGTAGTCAGTTTCAACCATTTTTTCCAGCTGCGGGGGTGTGTGTGTGCAAAAAAGCCAAGAGGCTGGCTATAACCATGCAATTGATGCCCTACCCTATTTTTACATGTCAAAAAATCAAGAAAATCGCTTGGAAAATAAGTGATGGAATATTGTAATTGCTACACTTGTCCAGTAGAATTCTAGTTTCTTAAGAAACAAAATAAAACAGGCACCATGTTGGAGCTGCAGAATTGTTGACAACTATTAGATGGCAGGAAACTTGTATTTTTTTGTATTTCTTTGCTGCCATCTAATAATCATCTGGATTTTTATAGTTCATATATGCTAAACTGATTTATAGTTTATAGTATATTTATAGCTCAGGGTTGACCTGTGGGGACCTTAGAGCTCTCTGAACTTGATTGTTTTCTTGCAGATGTTTCATTATCAAACTAAACTAGGTAATCCTCATCAGTGCTAAATATATGCTAAAGTTATATTGAAATCATAAGCATTCTAACATTGTACAATCACTATTAGTTTGCTAGTCAGATTGGTAGTACTATGTTTATGCAAATCCTGGCCAATCCAAAAGTTTTATTCTGCAAGATAATAAAGGTAAAGAAGTTATAAATCCAGGGTATTCACCTTCCCTGGTAAGTCACTAGTCTTACTGCACTTCCAATTGGAGCTCTTGACATCTGTGTAACATGATCCTAGTCCTTTTGTTGGACAGCCGGTGTTTCCATGGACCAGTCGCCATACTTCAAAAGCACATATTGCCAACTGAGTAATATAGGTTCTTGGGCAAGATAATCCATGTAGGAAACTCCAGACTTCATGAAAACGTGAACATTTTCATTATAAGGTATCTAGGATCATGTCTTTCATACTTGACAGATGTGTTGATTGCAATTGTCCAAATATGGATCAGAGGAACAAGCAGGCTGATGTTATTGATGCATCTGTTCCCTAGTTAATAATACCTAGATTCAGGAGCCAAAGCAATGAGGAAGTAGTGAGAACTTGCCATCAATATTAAGTAAGTGTATTAGATGGAGAGCCTATGAGTCACCCCACCATAATCTTGATAAATGACTCAATCCTGAAGGAACAGATAGGAGCATAAGCCATATGAAACTCTTCAAAAGACCAATCAGTCATATTCTTGAAAAGCTGTCACTTTAGCAGAGTCAGAATTACACATAAGACCTTGAACTATATAGCTGTTGTGGCTAAATGAGCCTCCCAAGCCCTCTTCCCTGTATTTATGATAGGAAGAAAAATTTGCTTAATGGCATTTTACATTTTGTAATCGGATCAAAGTTCACTTCAGTTTCCAAATTGTGTTAAATGAATTTAGAAAAATGTTGGTTTTTGGGGTTTTGTTCACACTTTTTTGGGGGGTATCACATTCTAATGTTTAAAAACATCTGAAAATACGCATGTGCTTAGACATTTTTTAAAAATATAGCAATAGAACAGTGGTGGGTTTCAAATTTTTTTACTACCGGTTCTGTGGGCGTGGCTTGGTGGGCGTGGCATGGCTTGGTGGGCGTGGCTTGGTGGACATGGCAGGGGAAGGATACTGTAAAATCCCCATTTCCTCCTGATCAGCTGGGATTTGGGAGGCAGAGAATAGATGGTGGAGGGGCCAGTCAGAATTTTTACTACCGATTCTCCGAACTATTCAAAATTTCCGCTACTGGTTCTCCAGAACTGGTCAGAACCTGCTGAAACCCACTTCTGCAATAGAAGTATATAGAAAATGATTACTAAATGGAGGTGAAAAGCAAGTATTCTGTCAGATGTAAATGCCTTATTCCCTAATGTGTAAATAATGTATATATGGGATATCAGGGGTTAACTTATTCTTTGACTCTTAATGTATTCATAATTCACCACTCCCACTCTTGGCTCCACCCTTTGTATATATAAGGAGCCACCTTCACCATTTTCTTTGCTTCTATCTGTGAATATTCAGTGAATATAGAATGCCTATTATAATTAAAGAGAAATATATTTAAACCTCTAACTCTCATTATTATTATTGAGTCTGATCCTAAAAATATTGCAACAAACTGGTAGCAGAGGATGGTTTATTGACTCAATAAATACCTAAAAATGTCTAAGAAAGATAGGCCCAACACCAGGGCCTACAGCAAAGAAATAGAAACTGAACAAGAAATAATCAACGAATCCACAAACGCGATTTCGAGAGAATCCGAAGAATACACCACTGAAGAAGAAGAATTAATAAATGAAAATGATGGCCAGGAGGAAATCGAAATAGAAAATAACGAACTCAGGTCAGAGATACTGAAGTTATTAAAAAGCCAGAAGAATGATGAAAGCCTCATCGCGAACCTCCAAGAAATGCTGAAGAACAGCGGAGCAGCGAGAGAGAAAAACATCGCTAAAGAGAAACCCAAAGACCAAAAAACTGTGAGTGATATGACTACAGAGAAAGTCGTTATGAAAAAGAAAAAATGTGATCCCGCGCAAAATTTTGAATGGCAGCCATCTTGGTTTCAACAAGCCTCCAAAGTGAGCGAAGCAGAGCCAATCAAAATGCTCAGTTCAAAATTTCTGGCGCGAAAAACGTTATCAGACAACGAAAGTGAAAAGGAGGATTCAAACTCTTCGGAAGAGCCAGAATCAGAAAATGAAGACGACTTAACGAAATCCCAAGTAAAGTCAGCAATGAAGACGCTTTTTGCTGCATTTGGGCCAAAATTAAAAATTTCCAAAGCGCCAACGAAGAAGCAAGCGAACAAACCGATACTTCAAGACCTGCACGCTCCCATCCTGACTTCGAGAACGACGACGCCCGAGCCCAGAGAGCCATGTCGATTCCGCCCTACACCGCAGACCGAAGCAAGTGCCAACGCACCCAAAAGAAAGAAAAGAACAGTCACCGCCATCAGAACTCCTAAGACCGAGCCAGAGACCGACTCGTCTGAAGAGGAGCGGAGCGAGCGAGCTACAATGGAGAGAACCTTCCACGACGACGTCAAAGAAGAAATGAACAACGCGCATGTGCGAAACTACGTAGACGGTCCGGAAAGACTTGAACTGGCCAGAGAACCGCGCAGACTCGTTGCGAGCATCCCCATGCCGTTTTGCAATTTCCTACACTTGCGAGACCACGGACTACCTCAGGTTGTAAGTAATGGACAAAATAATGTGGGTAACTTACCCAGTAACTTCCCAAAACTTAGGGTTGATGGCATTAATTTACAAGAATGGTATCAACAGCTCCAGGTTGTCTTTATGAAAGAAAATTTACTATTTTTTATCACTAGTCCCCCAAGAAGACCTTGGACTTTAAAAATAGATTGTTTACACCATAAGGCATTTTTCTTAATAATATCTAGCGTGTCTCCTGCAATGTATCATAGCATCAAACCAAATCTAACTGTTTCAGAAATAATTCAATGCATGTTTAATTTGTTTCACAGCGATAGTGTAGCTACCACCACAAGAATGTCTAAGGACTTCTTTTCTTCCAGAGTAAAACCAGGGGTTTCCATAAGTGAGCATTTAATATCTTTAAACAAAATAAGAGCTGAGCTGCATTTGAGGGGGGAAGTGATTTCAGATCAAACAATGAAAAGTGTTATTATCAACTCACTTGATTCATCATGGGATAGTTTTATGTCACACTTAGACACCATCAATCTAGGATATTTATCAATAGAAAGTCTGTCTAACAAATTGATAGCAGAAGACAATTCAAGAAAAAATCGTTATAGCAATCACACAGAACACAAATCTTTTAGGAAGGTAGCTTTCCAAGAAAAATATAATGAAACTTTTAAATGCCACAATTGTGGGTCCAGGGAACACAATAGAAGAGATTGTCCCAAAATTTCAAAGGAAAGACATAGGTCAGAATATAGGAATAAATACAATTATAGACAGTCTTCCACAGATAGACATAAATATAGAAGCCCACCAAATTACAGAGAAAGTAGAGGGGGCAGAGAAAATTCAAAAGAGAGAAAATCTGGTTCACTGAATGGACTAAATAAACAAGACAGCACTAAAACGCAACAAAATGAGAACAATAATTGGCTTATTGATTCTGGGGCAACTAATCACACCACTAATAACAAAAATATATTGTCTTCATTTACAGAAGATAAGTTTGTAATAAAGGTAGCTAATCAAGAAAAAGTTCAAGTATTAGGCAGAGGGAATG